TGTAGTCTTTATTACCTACTATTCTTTAGACTTAGTTTCAGTGGTAATTTTAAATAGCAAGCCTCTGAGACAGTAACCAAGTTTGGCAGTCATCACAAAGGTGGAAGGGGCTATGCCAAAGCCACAACCCAGGGTCAAAAGAATCTTCATCCATCTGGAGATAAAAATCAAGATGTGATGTTAAAGGGCATTGCATCAGGAGTCAGAGGGCCTCGAGTACTGTGATAAGCACCAGCTCTTCATCCCCACAGACTCCGGGCCCTGCCTAAACCTGTGGCTACTCTGTCCTTACCTTGAAATTATGATAAAAGTTTCTGTGCTACCCAAATGAGATTGCTAAAGAAAAAAAATGCTTTGAGAAGTTAAAGAACTTGGGAAATTTAAGGCAAGTTTATTCTAAAAATCTCTGACCAGTATGGAAATATTTGCCTTGCAAAAACTAATGTTTCTTTTATGGATGTCGGGCTTCTCTGTGCATATTTGACTCTGTCAAAATATTTCTGTTATCCTTCCTTTGAAACAGGTGGATGATAAGCTCCATTCTGGTGGGAAGTAGTGCCCTTCTTATCCTTGCAGAGAATGAGAACAGGACTAAATTTTACTAGGGAAACTCAGTTTGATGGACACGATGAGACAGAGGCCATGGAGCACCACAAGTGAGCACCTGTTCCCAAAGAGTCCTAACAATTCACAGACAACACAGTAAGATGGCGAGTCTTATTTACACCAATCTTCCCAGGTGAAAGCTGAAACAAATGATTTTTTTCCCCAGTGCTATAGTTTCTATTGTGTCATGTTATAAAGAAGTAAAACTATCATTATAATTCCTGATTGTGAAGAACAAGCTTTCTTTTACATTCCCTTGACTCATTTAAGAAGCACACGTGGAATGGGCATCAGCCGAGCCATTTAGGGATACAAACCAATGTTACTGGAAAAATAGATGTCATGAAACAATTATGTCATAGGGTGGGCAATTTCAGGGGCTTAGGTAGTAAAAGGTAGAATGCTTCCTCTGTACCCATGTCCTTTTGACATATAAATATCAGAGGGTTTTGTGTTCTACAGAATGCCGACCCAAGACAGTAGAGATTCTGTCAGTTTGGTCTCTTGGAAACGTGTTTTCCTTGCACTCAATTCTTGTCAGTTCCCATGGGATTCAGTATTGTGAGCATAACAGAAGTGAGAAGTAAGTTTGGAGGTTGTCTGAGGTAGCAGGTATTTATTTCAGTACATTACTTGGCAACTATTAAATTAACAAGGAAGATCTTTGCTTTTAAACATCTTAGATTCTAGCTAGGGGCATAATGGTCACACACTTTAGAAATGCCTAACCTATTAGATATGGATTCAGGACAGGAGTACATGTTTTATTGTAAAGGACCTTGTCTTCATTACTTTTCTCATCACTGACACAAAATATTCAACACCCACAACTTTCAAAGAAGGAAAGGTTTATTTTAGCTCATGATTTATAGAGTTTTCAGTCCATGGACAGCTGGCTCCAAGGCAGTGCAACAAGGAAGAAGTGTGTGGCACAGGAGATCTGCTTACTGCATGGCAGCAGGGAGGAAGACAGAGTGAAGGGGGATACCAGGGGAGGGAGACATGCTTTCCCATCTCCTTAGTGACCCATCTCCCTCCACCAGGCTCCACTGCCTAACAGCACGTTTAGCTATAGTCACCGGTGGACTAAACCGCTGGTGGTTCTCACGCCTCCACGATTCAGTCACCCCCCCCATGAATGCACCAGGCTCTGGGGGCACAGCTACATGTAAACCATACACTAAAATACCAAGAATAACCTGAATAAGTGATATGTGTGTTGTTATTTTTAAACTACATGTAGGAGCTATTGTGATTAATATAATAAAAACTCATGTAAAGTTACTAAATTCATTGTGTCTCTATCATTTCACATTTTAGTTCTGCCTTTGTGATTATTTTCATATATATATATATATACATATATATATATATGTATATATATATATATAATTCTCTACTAGAAGATAAGATGTATGAATTTGTTTTTACATGCCATTAGGCCTCTAGGTGCTCAGGAATGTTTGCTAACTGTTGATTAAGTATATTTTGTCAACCAACAGGCTGAGTGATTACAAATATACCACTCCTTGAAATTTTATACAGTTAAAAAAGGTGTTCTGCTTTGAGTTGAGGTTGAAATTCTCTGCATGCAAGTCAACATATGAAAGATAAATAAGTTAAGACAAAAGATGCACACTGGAAAGAGAGGGACCCAAAGAGTTAAAGTTGATAGGTCATAGATAATTAACTGCCTTCATCTCTCATTGTCTTGCATTTCTTCATGCTGTTTACACTTCAAAGAGTTCTGAAAAATCTTGCCTCATATAAACTGTAAGATAACTCATGAGGTAAATGGATGAGAAACTATGCAAAACAGATACTGCCTGAATCTTATCTTCAGGCTTTAAAAAGCTGCTGATATCTTGCAAGACAAAGCTGAAAGCAACTGAAGAGGTCATCTTATCCTACAAATGTTTTAAAGGAAACAGAATTCCCCAAATGCTCATGTTCCTGTCTAAGGTTGTATATCTAGAGTGTAGCAGAGTCAGGACCAGACCTCAAGCTCTAGTCTGATTCAAAACCTTTCCACTCAACTATTTAAGAGAGGAAAGTGGTATAACTCATGAATTAAGAAAGTATATATTCAAATAGTTTATGTTATCAGCTTTGTATTTTCTTTCAGTCTCTCTTTAAACAGAAGCTCAAACATACAGCTTTGTAAATTTGAAGTTAATGTTTACCTAATCCTACTGAAGATCATCATCTTTAAGTCATCACGTTTTTATTTTGTGAAGTCGTTGCAAATTTGCTACTCACCCTAATAAGAGTCAGTAAACATGTCCTTTCTATGCTTGGACATTCTTTTGTCACACTAATTCCCTCCTAAAGCCAATATCAATGCTAATTCTACATTAAAAAGATAAAGACATAAAACACAATGTCACAATAAATATTTGGCAAGCCATAGAGACACTATTTTAAAGAAAAGTGTTTCAAGACACTTTAATGCTTTCTATTGCAGTGGTTGTAGAATTACTGAGGGCTCTTTGCTAATAGGAACTCTATAATATCTATTAATGAGATTTATAAGAACACTAATAGGTAAATCCCAACCTAACTCTGTCAATAGTGATGCAAATTAATGTAATTCTAACTATTCAACTCAGGGTTATAAATATTCATGTGAATTGTCTATTCTAATGAATACAAACTCTGCATGTTCTAAATATATGTGCAAAAAAATCTAATGTGTGTTGACATCATGACAAAAAGTAAGCTATCAGCTACATGTTGAATATTCTGATTTTAGTTAAAAATATAAGATCTAGCGACACATCTGCTCTAATCATTAAAGAGGAAATGTATACTACCAACTAGAGATTTAAGGAATGACAGCTTAACATTTTCCAACTTTCAGTGCCACTGACCCATAGTTTTCATCATCAACCCAAGTACTACACAAGACCATCTGCTGAGTTCAGAGGATCACCAGTCATTTGGTAAAAAGTTAAGGAGATTTATAAATAATACTGGAAAACAGCTCAGGCATGGAGAAACCAGAAAAATGTAATATCACGGCAATATGATTAACTAACATTCTCTATGTGTCTGAAGAGAAAGAGAAAATTCTATGTAGGTGACAGTAGATGTGAGTCTATGCTATCGAAAAATGTGTTCAGAATGGACTTTGTCATATAATGTTTTAAGAAATCTAAATCATTTAAATTGTTTTTTCTTCATTACTGACTTACTTCATTGCTTTCCTTGGACATCCTGTTTGATAAATAAGCGTGTCTCTTTTTGAGGTTTCTGTCTTCATTAAATATCAAAACTCATTTAGATGGAGGTGAATACAAGCCTGATTTTTATGTAATTCTGACACCACATTCTGTTTCTGAGATGTTTGTTTCAAATACATCTGCTGTTGGATTATGTGACGGCAAGGAGTTAGTACTATTTCCAGTTCAGGATAATTAAGAAAAATTACTATATTTTCAAGGGCTATTAAATAAGCAAGTTCATTAACTATGTGCTTTTAAGAAAAGTTGTTTACATAGATAAATTTATTGGATAGCTTATTCTCTTTATGGATTATTTTAAATATGCTTGAAGTTTTCAATATTTATTTTGAGATTAAATTCATACATGTTTAGTGCTTTGGTTTATTTGTCTTCCATTGCCCACCTCTGATGGAATTTTGGCTTCAAAGCAAGCCATTGGTTTGGACCCAACATAAGCATATTCAGGGAAAATCACATTGGACCTGAAGATAAACTGTCTTAAACGCTCCTTTCCTATGTGATCATCTCATATGTGTGTTTGCATGGGTATGTGCAACCATTGCTTTCACTTTGTCCTATATATTTTAGTCTTTTGCCTTCGTCATCTCCCTCCTGTTTCTCTTACTCTATCAAATGTTTCATCAATGGCGTCTTGGTTTCATGTTGCAAAAATAGCTAATACATGCATGTGTTCTACTTCAGATGGTTCCCAACCCAGGAAAAGCATCCTTCTTTGATCATGAATAACAATATTCCTTGGTATTCCAGTTCAATAATACCTGCAAATTATAGCCCTTTACAATTTTAGCTAGACTACCTAAAGACCAGAAGAGATCTAACATAATGAAAGATAGTCCACTGCTTAAAGATTTGCTTTCCCTTAGATTTTTCCACACCCAATAATCACCACTGTCAGCTTAAATAAATTCCACTGTGAAGCGGTATATAAAGAACTAATGTTAATGTCTCTCTCCGGCATCTGTCCCCTCATGGCTGTCTCATCCTGGGATATGGTTGCACAGTGTTTTGCACTGCAGCGAGACTGTCCTCAGGCTGGCAGACAAGTAGCAGGCTTGAGAAGGCCAGTCGGACACACAATGAGTATGTGTATTCACACACACACACACACACACACACACACACACACACACACACACACACACAGCAGCAGCGGCAGGCAGCAGCGGCGGCAGCAGCAGCTTCAAACCTGAAATAAAAATCATGAAAAAGGAATAATGAGGCATAGTGAAAGAATCCTAAATTAGTACCAGCTGCTGAACAATTAGATTCAACTGCTAACAGGTGTGGAGAAGAGCCCACTTACAGGGTTACCTTTTGTCAATGGACCTCTTGAAAGGACTTTTGGTTGTAAAATTCTGAGAGCACTGGAAGTGTTTGGAGGAAGTGAATATATATCCAAGAAAAGGATTCTACTTTCTTTTCTGTTCATAATGAAAAGAGCTGGGCGTGGTGGCGCACGCCTGTAATCCCAGCACTCGGGAGGCTGAGGCAGGAGTATTGCTGTGAGTTCGAGACAAGCCTGGGCTACATAGTGAGTTCCAAGTCAGTCTCAACTACATAGTGAGACCCTGTCTCAAAACAAACAAACAAACAAACAAACAAACAAACAAAGATAATCCAAAAAACCAAAACATAATGAAAACAAATTAAATCTTCATATTTTATAGAAGTCATGGACCAGTGCAGGGAAAGGAGGGAGGTGGTGATACTCACAACCTGTGGTGCTTGGACCAGGAAATTTGTAGGAAGGGATTCTGGGATGAGAAACCTTTCAAAGTACATTGAAAATTTGGGATGTATTTGCATCTGTGCTTGGGTAAACTTTCAAAGATTTCATTAGTCTTTGAGAGAGTCTTTGAATCCCTTCTTTCACTTTTAAAACTGATGCAGTCAAAAGAGCATGAACATATAAGTCATTCCTAAATTAGAATCTCTGTACATCATGTGACCTTTCTGAGCAATTTTTTATCTATGAAATGCAAATAGCAACACTGGCCTGACTTGCTTATTGAGTTAAAGGAGTTTCCTAAACTTTAATGTACATAGTGATCACTGGGGAGCTGGTGGAAGGAAAATTCTCTCAGTAGGTCTGAAGTGGCTGGCCCATGAGATTCTGCAAGGTCTTAGAAACTTCTAGATGATATTCTGTATACTAGGTTTGGATAGCAAGGATTTCAAATCCTTGTTTGGAATTCTGACTGCACATTGGAGTTACCTGAGGAGTTAAAAATACTGATTCCCGAACCCTACCATTAAGGTTTCTGATTTGTCTGCTCTTGGATGCAGCCTGGAGATGAGGACTTTTTCACATTTCCCCAGTGTTCTGAATGTGCAGTGAGAATTACTGATTCAAAGTGCAGTGTCTGACATCTGCTAGGTGCTTATCAATCATTAGTTTCTTTAGGAGACTCCTCAATTGTGGGATAGAATAATGAAAAATGAAAGACTAAAGTGTTCTTTCTAGTGTTATAAGGGATAAAAAATTGCTAGAACTATAGACGGTGGAAACTCCATTCTGCAGTAAAAGAGTGCTGAGGTCGGGGATATAGTCCTCATCATTTCCGTGTTTCTTACATCTAAACAAACAGGAGAAAAAGGATAGTTATGCTTTCATATCACATTTTTGTTGGGAAAATTAATATTAACAAAATGCTTTGAGATCCAGAGATGAAAGGTTATTTAAGACATTTAAAATGTACAAAGCAAATGGATAGATGTGCTTTGCAATTTTTCAGTGATTACCTCAAAACAGGGCAGATAACCAAGGGACAAAAAGAAGAAATTGGTGGTGGGGATGTTGACATTGGCATGTTTTCTATAGATGCTCAGAGAAACAGCACAAAATCTGTTTGAATTAGTTGATTTTATTGGCCCTGATAATTTTTAAGGGCTTTTCTTTTCACTCAGAATATAAATTTTTGAAGTCTTTTTGCCTAGGCACAGGCGATAGGAGCCACCCCTGACTAAGCTGTTATTATTACAGATCCTTGCCAGAAAGAACTCTCACCCTTTCATGCTCCATCACCAGCCCTTCGGGAGTGCTTTAAGCAAGTGCTTTGAAATTTGCAAGTGTTGATCTCATTTATGAGTGTCCAAATTCTTTGAGAGTGAAGTTTTTTTGCTATTACTATAAAACATCAAATATTTGGAAAGGTTATTTATTGGGGTGGGGCCTAACATGGTGCCTGTAAAAGAGCCAGCTCTTCTGTGCCCTGGACTCAAGTAGATGGAATGCTTTGATAGGAATGGAAGCCAGGCACGATCCTTTCTGCCCTCAGGGTGCAGCCTTCCCTCTTCTCTACCCACTCAGCCGTGGAGGTTGACCTGCATGGGGTGCAGTAGTGGGCTCCCTCGTCTTCTGGTCTCAGGGTGGATTTGGTCAATATGGCATCATGGTAGGAGACACAGAAAGAAGAGAGAATTAAGGTTTTTATTCCTCTCCTTCCTTTCCTAATGATCTGTTGGACTGGTTCTTCTCCAAAACAAAGTCATGCCTTCCCTCAAAAGGGTCCTCTCCACATCACTGTCCTTTGGGTTCCAATAATTGCTCCTTTTATTACCCCTTCGAGCTTGTGATAGAAACAGCCCTTGTGCTAGTAGTCCAGAGTAAAGCACTATTCCTTGTGGTTTGTTTTCCTCCTGACTGATTTTCTAAATAGTCCTTTATTACATTATCTCTAAATTATTCTTACTTGGTACAAATGGGAATACCATGACCTCATCTCTCTTGTTCACTGGTATATTTTCATTGATATTTGCTGAATGAACAAATAAATTAATATTTGAGATTGTTCTTCTTTGGCGGCATTTGTGTGCTTGATTTTGGGTTTTGATCAGTTAACAAGGAGCAGCTCTGTGAGTGATGCCAGTCTCCCTGTGGATAAATTTATTTCAGAGTTAAGGCCAGGAATAGAACATCCCCATGTTTCTACTTCTTAACTTATTAAACCATTTGTATATGTCACACAGAATTTTAAACAGATAGTATGGGTTTGTATTAAAACAAGTATTTGTTCCTGATATTCCCCTTGCATACCCAGGCTAGTGGGTTACCTTTAGACAGAAACAGAATCTGTGGCACCAAGTGGCTAAGCAGTGTTTAGTAAGCATCCATGCACATTTCTTTCTTTCTTTCTTTCTTTTTTTTTTTTGGTACTGGGGATCGAACTCGGGTCCTTGCACTTGCGAGGCAGGCCACTGAACTGCTGAGCTAAATCCCCGGCCCCCCCCCATGCGCATTTCTTAAACTTCATTCTTAGTTACCTTCTCATCTTCTCTGTCTCACTTTTTTTTTTCCTTTAGCAATACAAATTACATCCATATTCTGAGATGTTGATTGGCATATTTCATTTTCCCATTTTGGGCTAAAAACAAGTCACACACACGTGTGTGTTCAATTTCAGCCTCCATTTGCTCAAAATAGCAAGAAATCCAAACTTCCCTTGGTAACACTCTTCCCAAATTTTTCTAAGGAGCAGCTTATGTAAGTCTCAGTTATTGCACTCAGAAGAGGGGTGTGGGTTAGAGCTCCTTAGCTGCAGAAATTCAGGCAATGTCTGGTCCACACCGGCCTGCCTCCTGCATCTCTTTCTGGCTCTGTATCCCCAGGAACTTCTATTGTCATTTCTGGAATCTGATGTCGGGTTGTTTTAATTGTTTGAAAATAAACCTGGTATTTTAGGCTTATTTGTGATCTCCCACTATCCAAATTAATATGTGGATGTTTTAACCCTCATTAATGTTCTAATCCCCAGAACGTTGCTATATTTGGAGCCAGGGCCTTGAAAGAGATGATTAGGATCAACTGCAGTCGTGTGCATGGATCTTCAGTCCCTGTGACTGCTTTCCTCACAAAAGAGATTCATACATCGACTCACACAAAGAAGAACACATAAAGACAGAGGGAGAAGAAGGCCATCCTCAAGCAGAGAAGGAAGGTCTGAGGATGAAACTGGCTCTGCTGCCACCTCAACCCGGGGTTTCTGGCCCTAGAACTATTAGGGTGCACGTTTCTGTTGTTGGTTCCTCCGGCTGAAGAATACATTAGGTATCTTTTGGTGTCCATCTCCCCGTTTGTCAGTCTTGGCCAGTTAACCAAGCCTGGCGGTGCCTGTGTGGATAGAGAGGTGTTCTGTGCCATCCTTTAGCAGAGAAACCCTGACTCTGGACTGTGACAGTTTTGTTGGGCAGCAGTTTAGTTCCCCTCACACCTAAGTCCTAGGTAGACAGATTTCCAAAGCGCTCACAGCAGTCGTCAGCCGCAGATATCCATCATACACGTTCTTCACGGGCTCTCTGTTCTTAGGCTGGAAATGCCGGTCCACTCATGTTTCAGACACCAATGTGACTAGCACTGATACGTGCCCTCCTGAAGATAATGGCTTCACTCGCAAAATGGCTTTGTGCTGCTGCCATTATTAGTACTCTTACTTAGGCCACTTTGCTGTGGAATCTGGAACCCAAGACAGGAGAAGTCCCTCCCCACCCCCTGCTCCAAAGTCTGCCCTTTGCTGGCCGAGACTTTACCTTTATCCGTGATTGCCAGGGTGGATGTATCCATTGTCTTACAGGGAATCTCACACATCAAAATGTGACTGTTTGTTGTCACCGCATTTCCTAAAGTCCGTACCTTTTAATAGGCTTTAAAGTGAATATTAATACTGAAGTTCACACTGGGAGCATGTATAATCTGCTTTTTGTTCTTGGAAAGCGATTTTCATAAATCATATTTTAAAAACTTACATTTTAAACATAAATTAAATGATTTAATTAAGGAAAATTCTTAGCTATGCTGTTTTCTCCTGAATGTTTCTTCTTCACCATTCCAAGAGATGATTTTTTTTTCACTTGTTTGTTTTTCACTTGTTGGGGGTTGCACTGTGTTATCTAGGCTGGCCTTGAACTCACGCTCCTGCTTTAGCCCCCCAAGTAGCTGAGCTCCCTGCCACCTTACCCAGGTCCATCGTCCATCAGACGATCTTTACATTCTCATTTTGTACTCCACAGCTCTTAACTGTTCTTTTTTCTTGCTTTCCTACATTTGGCTGAGTTCCGATTTACAGATGCGCGCCACCACTGCCAGCTTCATTTCTAGAAATTTTTGTTTTTGTAATGTTCATTTGTTCTTATTCATAGTCTCCCTTTTCTTTTTTTTTATCTTTTTATTGAGTTTATTGGTACATTTTA